CCCTAGTACCAGGCGGTTATTGCCTTCCAAAAGTGGGCTTATATTAGGCAAGTAACGCAGTTCACAGCTATTAACCGGCGGGATATACACATTAAGCACCTCTACCTCGGCAGTACCACACTTGACTGCTACCCCCATACACTCCATGTACGGGTCACTAGAGACTAGCTCAAGCGAGATAGGTCTGTATTGAACAGAATGGTGTATCAGGAACGCTAATCCCCCTCCTCCACTTCTGGTGCGATCTTTCCTCAATACGTTGTAACCATTGTAACGTTGTAAGCTACAATTTTCATTGAGCTTTGTTTCCTGCACCGCTGCGATCTTAATATTCCTCCGATTCATAAAATCCACTATCTCATCAATTTTACCTCGGAGTCCGTTGCAATTGAACTGCAAGAACGATGCATTGTCCGGAATTGGAACAGCAACATGTGGCGTTAAGTGCTGCGGTAAAGGTTGCTGTTCTGGAGACTGCGGGGGAGTTCCATACTCCGACGACGACTCGGAAGTTGACGACGAGGTCGTGGACTCACTGGGGACTACGTTGGTACAGCACGAAGCAACATAGTCCCTATCGCTGTAGTCTCGCAACCGGGTTAAACCGGAACAATTTCTAAAATGCACCCATCCTCTGCATCCATTACATCGCACCGAGACTGATCTATGGTGGATGGTATTTTGGCAAACCGTACAGAACCATGGTCCGGGGTTTTCCTCAAGCCCGGCACGGACCAAAAAAATCCGGAGCAAGCATTCCGGGATGTGCTGCTCCCAAAACAGAAAAATAAACAAACACGAACATGTATACACTGGGTTGGGAGCCGCTGGCCGAAACTGGAGTGTTGTTGTTTCGGGTCAATCCGGTGTCGTAGAACCCGCTGCCGTGGGATTGTGAATGTTGTAATGGTGTAAATTGCATTCCTCTCTTATATGCGGATGATGTGTTTCTCGTTTTTACCAATTCTAATATTAATCCTATAGCTTTTGAAAGTGAAATTAATAATTGTCTTGTTCATGTTGGAGAGTGGTGTTTTGAACATTCTCTAGTATTGAATCCAATCAGAGGTGGTGTTCCTAGGTTTCTGCCTAACATGTTCAGTTTTTCCAGGTCAACGAGGAGTACTCAGATATTAATACCCAGAATAAATAACCTAACATTTGAAAAGTCTTTTATTGTACGTATTGCACGTTTGTGGAATTATCTACTTATTGAGCTTAGAATTTTTTCCCATTCTAATAATGCCTTTCGTTTGAAAGTGTTGAATCATGTCCTGTATCCTGGTATTTATCCCAATTAGTTTTATTTTCGTTGTTTTGAGCTTTTATTTTCTTCATTTTCCTCTTAATAATAATTTTTAAATTATTTTTATCGTCGCCTTTTTTTTAGTTTTGGCTGGGGAGCCTTATATAACTTGTTTTTTAATGATGTAATAGTTAATTATAAGTTATTTTGAATTTTTCTACTTGGTATTGAGTACTTTATTAATACAATTAATTGGCCTTGGAGGCTTTAGTATTAAGTATGAATTAAATAAAGAAAGAAAGAATAATTGATTTTTGGAAGTTACTTAAGATTGCTAATGCAGAGCTTGCCAAATATCATAGGCAGACTCTTTATCCATTACTTTCATGAAAATTTCATCTGTGACAGTATTTGCGATCAGACTCCTTGGTCATCTGCTTCCAAATTGGCCAGTCTGACTCACCACATAACGGCTTTATGTTTTCACAGAATTCCATGGTAAATTCATTTGATAAATCAACGTAGTTTCAACAAGTATTAAGATAAAAACAATTCTCCTAAATTAATTTAACAGGAAAATTACACAATTTCCCGACGAAAACGCATAACCAAAGTGGGGTTGGCGGTAGAGAAACTGCATAGAAAATGCTGAATTGCACAAAAACTATGATAGATGCGTTATTAAGCGGAGCTGAAATGAAAGGTCTCGATGAGTACATATATATGCCTTATATTCCAAATGATTTCATATAATAAACTGCGAGGCGTTTTACAGTGGTCGAAAATACTTTTAGTGCAGATATCAATATGAATCTTTGGTTATGGTACCTTGATGGGATAAAAATAAAAAATGGGACAAAATGGATATGGTCGATGCATGTTTTGGTATGGTCCCCTTACAACGTAGCTCCCTAATAAGGGTTGTTTGCCCAATTCTTGTCACATTTCTACACCGAATTGTAATGTAATTTGACATTTCAGGTAGAGTCCCCCTGAAAAGGTACCTCCAAAAATAGAAGCATTTTTTATACAAATCAAGTCCAAATTTGATTATTTTTTGTAAACAAAATAAAATAACAATTTAATGTAAAGTTAAATCAAAGTTAAATTTTGCACAAATAATTTGTTTGACTTAAGGCCCTATTGAAATTGGAGATAATCGGTCAAAATTTAGGTATACCTCCCATATATATTCATCCAATTTGCCTTATATAGTGCATCAAACTTGTAATATCAGCCCAAATAGTATGGAATATACGTACGACCAGATTGGATCTGAAAATAAGTATGCCAAATTTGATCGAAATCCGTTCAGATATAGATATAGCTCCCCTATATATTGTTCATCCGATTTGTTATTTTTGTCCTCCGCAGCCGTAATATGCACTCTGTAACAACGATATTTGGGGAAATATATCAAATATAATTTAGTTCCTCTGGACTTTTAATTATTACTATAATCATAGTTGGTATGATTTAATTCTCACAAATTGACTCCCCAGAAGTTATTTTAAAAACAAGTAAGCAAAGGCTACAGTCGAGCGGGGCCGACCGTTGAATACCCTACAACACTATAATAAACCATATATAGGCGAGATACTCGAAAGAACTCCACAAGATATTGTGACAAATAATAAAAGAAAACCATCATGTTTCGTTCTCTAATTTTCGGATAATAGCAACTTAAACGAATTTGCTCATTTCCAATTTATTGGTAGATGTCGCTGGAATGGACATTTTCGTATTTAGTCTACAAAAGTTGGCAAACTATTTCACACATTGAATATTTTTGGATGGCCATCCGAAACTGCTTGGCTTTTGCAATGTGTGGTAACCCCCATTCAAATGTGCGTGAGGATTGGGCGATAATTACGACCTGCTGACAATTTGCAGTTTTTTTGGTCCATTTCAACCCCTAAATATATAGCGATCATCTCCAAAAAGAGTAGGCATCTATTCTGACCCTCATCTTATCCCCAATGCAAAATTTCGTAAGGATCGGGCTATAAATGCGATCTGTATATGATATCCTGATATCCTAACTACTTAGTTTTGTAAGCTGTAGAAATATTACCAAATGTTTAATTCAAAATGAAAATATGCCAAAAATATGACAAAATTGAAAAATATGAGAAAATTTTACAAAACCAATATTTTCATCTTCAGAGAAATATTTTTATGCGATTTTTTTAGACGTTTTTTCTTTCCTGCCTTTCCGGCCATTCTGAATTAATGAGAACTGTCGAAATCAGTTCAGCCGTTCTCGACATATAAGAGATCTTTCAAGCATATCTTCTTTTTACCCGCTAAATATTATCCGATGACCACCCAAATTGGTAGGCTTCTTCCCCGCCCTAAACTCTAGCTACATGCGTCGATTGGTCTATAATTGCGACCTGTATAGCTACTGCAAAATCCGACATTTTTTCAGTATTTGGTCCATTTCAACAACTAAACATTTGGCGATCATCTCCAAAAGAAATAGGCATCTATTCTGACCCTAACCCCACCTTCGTGCAAAATTTCGTAAGGATCGGGCCATAATTGCGACCTGTAGAGTGATTACAAATTAACATGGTCAGACGGACGGACGGACATACATAGCTAGATCGACTCAGCTCGGCGAGCTAGGAAGATCCATATATACTTTCCTATATGGGAAACCAATATTTCGAGGTGTTACATAAATTCTGGCCCAATCAAACTTATAATACCCCCAACACATAGTGTTGTAGGGTATAATAACTTCTATGACTAAAAACATTTTTTTACCCAAGTGACGAGATCGTAAGCTCAATTTAATTCTTTGGTTCATCTTCTATTGAGCTTACGATCTCGTCACTTGGGTAAAAAAATGTTTTTTGTCATAGAAGTTATTTTTAAAATAACTTCTGGGTAGAATGTCCCAGACAAAAGACAAGGGAACTGATGAGGATTGGTGGCTCTTTCCGAAACCTAGGTATTCCCTGCCTTACCCCCTGGTAAACATTACCATCGTTCTCCACTAATAAACAAAAGTTGTTTTTATAAAAACAACAATAAAGGGATAAAGCCTGACCATTTTGCAACAACAAAATCTGATTTTCATTTTTTGAATATTGATCAATGGCTGCGACCACTGTGCGTTGGTTACGCAGCTCATATTTGGTGTGGGTGATGGCTTATAGGGAATGTTCTTTGGAAAGATGTATTTTTTCGAATTTATTGCGATTAAGCATAAGCGAATTGAACATCAAAAACCCACTATGTTCGACTCAAGTTCTACTTGCAAATCGTTTTCACAACAAAGCTTATTTTTGCATAATAGCTATATTGCTTCCAATTCATATACCTGTTATAGTGCTGCTGTAGAAAGACGTTAATGGATCTGAGCGTTGAGATGGCTAGCTCACTGTACACCGAGGACCGCAGTTCAAATCCCACAGCCAAGCTCTGCTGAATTTAAAATTTTAGAGTTTTGCCTTGTTAAAGCGTGGCGAGCTTAATAATCTAAGATTTGCAGTGAAAGGAAAGTCAGATAGACACCATCACACACCACTATGCTACGCGTTTCGGCGTTGGTTAAGCGGCTCATCAGCAGTTTTGTTTGGTGTGTTTAAATGTAAATCGCAAATTTGGATATTTTCTTGATATGTGATGCATTAAATTTGACCTGGAATTACCTAAAATCTTTAAAACAAAATCAAACAGTATATACTTTTTTAATGTAATATTAAGGTCTAAAGATCTCTTCTTCATAACTATATTTTTTCAGACTGAATTCGTTGAAAAAAGAGCAAGATCCAGCAGTCCTAATGAGAATGAATATGTAGGAGAATATCGAACACACGAAAAGCGATATAAAACAGATGACTCGCAATTTTATAAACATATCAATGAAACTTTTCCTACATATAACGAAATAGCAAAACGCCATATTGAACATCTAGTTAATAACAATATTACATCTATTGATAATAAGATGAAAAGCATTTCCCAGGAAATTAAAACACTAAATGAAATTCTTTACACGAAAGAGACGGAGTGGAATCGAATATTACATTTGAAAATTGTCAAAGAGGAGTTGTATTCCCGTCTGTCAAGAAAGAAACACTCCATTGATATGAAAGAGACTTTGTCAAAATCTCGACGTCAAAATTCAGTATTAGAATTAAAGGAACTGGAATCATATTTATCAGACAAGGATCCAACACCCAATTCGAGGAATACCTCCATACAACAAATAATAGAAAATAGAGCAAATATGAAGTCAGAAGATTTGAAACGCGAAAGAAGCAGCACTAGCAGACTTCACAGGTAATAATGTTTAAGAAAAGTTGATATAATGTATTTATAGACATTGTTTTAATTTTTTTAGTTTATTAGTATCGCGTAACATGTTACCAGACGCAAATACTACGGAAGCAAGGGCTTACGGCAACGGCAATGTACACGAAATGGCAAATTTTGAAACATATGAACACTTGCCGAGTGGAAATGCTATATATAGGGAACGCGGTGAATTAAAAGATGTTAAAAGTATAATAAATGATTTTAAACAAAAGAAATCAGAAATAATTTCCCAGGTATGTAACCAAAATTAGACTAAGTAAAACAATGATTGTTCCTTTATTTCTCAGGATAAGAAAAAACAACAACATCTACAGATCATTGAAGCAAGTAAGTCGGATAATTATCATTCGAGAGAATTCTTGGAAGACGCGGCATTATTTACATCAATAGGAAAAGTAAGAAAATAGATAAAATCTCCCAAACTTTCTTTATTTCATACATTGAAAAATTATTAATTACATGAAGTGGTGCGACTAGCTACTGCTTATTTGAGGTTTCTGACGACATTATCAACTTGTCAAATATTCAGTACAGGGAGGGTGGTTAAATTCGAATGAGTTGTGTGAGTTAGAATATTCATTCAAAATATCGAAAAGATCATTCGATATTCTATCTGATCAGGTTGCAAAATATCAATACTAATGTTTTTTTTATTAATTTTCCGATAGGAACTCGACAATGGTTAATGCGATTGGGAATAGTCCAATTAATATTAGACCAAGGGCAGATAGTATTTCAGTCAAATTATCTGTTATTTCATTCTGTAATGTCATTCTGTATGTCAAATTTGTCAAGCCCAAATAATCAGTAGTTTGAAAACTAAACAATTTAAGTTACATTCATTTATTCGCCTACTTCTTCCAGCACAATCACTACAATTCATATTTTGATGACAGTTCTCACTTTAAGGAACATGACAAAGGAAATAATGTGAGTTTGCCCAAAAATAATCAATACCCATATTGCCAAGAATGTAAAATCCATGAGTCTCGTTTCGTATGTGCAGGCTGTGGCAACCAGTGGTATTGCAGTAAAAAATGCCAGGTATAAAAAATGGAATAGCGACAAAATCACAATGTCATTTTATTTATTTTACAGATATCTGCGTGGGATAAACATTCTGAAATATGTACAGACTAAATCAAATAACATCTTGATTCTGTTTTTTAATAAAATGCCAGGAAATAAATATTAATTTTTTAAACAAACATCATTATTACTTTTCGGGCATTTCTTAGTAATAATAAGTATAATTTTTTTTTCTAGTTTAACCTTACTCTTATAATTGTCTAAAAATGCAGCTCTGGCGTGTGAATGTTTACCACAACTGCTTCCACAGTGCTTATTTGTATGGCCTTGTAAAATGCAATCCCTCGGTCGTGGGTTAAATCTACTACATCGAGTTCAATCCCACGGCAGCGGGTTCTACGGATTAACTCGAAACAACAACATCCCAGTCTCGGTCCCAGTTTCGGTCTGTTTGTGTTTGTTTATTTTTCTGCATTGGAAGCAGCATATTCCGGAATGCTTGATCCGGATTTTATTGGTTCGTGCCGGGATTGAGGAAAACCCCGGACTTTGGTTGGAAAGCTCACTGGCCAGAGTTCAGAGAATTCACCAACCGCCGCTTCAGAGAACTGCCCAACCCTTCTGACGTTCGGGTAGCAGAATGGATTTTCCGAAACATCATCAAAGCTGAAGCCGCTTGCTATATACGTGCTGCTCGAATAACCGAGATAAGACCGAACTTCCCAGCAGAGGCAGCGGGATTAGCAAACGAGCGTGATGATCTCCATCGTACCAACCCCACTAATCATAGAATCAGTGATTTGACGGTGGAAGTCAACCGGTTGATATAGGAGCATAAGAGGAAAAAGTGGCTATATCAGCTGAAGTGTTGCAACATTGGAACCGATATGAGTAAGCTGTGGGTAACGTTTAAGACGCTCTCGAACCCTGGAAAAAGGATGATAGGACCTCTGTCACTTTTAACGACATAAAGGTGACTAATCCGAAGAGGTGCGAGGAGTATTTTAACCGAACATATGTCGAGCATCCCGAGAGCGACAGGGCGAAGCGAGGAGTACTGCATCGTATTAGATCTCTTCCCGCCGAGGAGGAACCACCACAGTGATATTGCAAATATTATCCAAAGCATTGTGCCCAGACGGAATCTCACTGGTAATGCTGGATACGACGGGAGTCGAGTACCTAACGAAAGTTCTCTACCTGTCGCTAGCAACCCACATAGAGCCCGAAGCCTGGAAAATGGGTCGAGTGGTCCCGCTACTGAAGCCAGGCAAGGATGCCAGTAAAGGCGAATCGTACAGGCTAATTTCGCTCTTGTCGCGAGTAGATAAGGCTCTTGAGACTTTACTCCTCCCCAGCATTAGAGCAAGCTCGCCGCATACTTCCACGCGAGGAATATGAAAATATCCGCCCCAAAATTAACGGCAACACTTTTTACCACATGGTCTGCGGAGATGAGAACACAGCTAAATGTGCAGGTCGAGGGGAATTTAATACCTATCACGAACATTCCACAGCATGTTTAAGTCATCCGCGCAAGCCACAGATATCTGCTACAAGATGAAAAGTAGGAACAATGTCCTCAATGCGCTAGCCGGCAGCGCTTGGGTGCGGGCTAGGAAACCTTGTTGACTTCTTATAACGCGATAGGTCGGTCTGTGGTCAGCTATGCGGCTTCAGTGTGGTCTGCGAATACTAGTGCTATGCAGTGGAAGCACATCCAGACCTACCAGAATGCTGCCCTCAGAACTACGACGGGATGCCTTCTCATGACACCTTACGTCAGCATAATCATATGCAAGTAAGGTCCATTAAGATAAATGCCGTATTTATCTAGCGGACACGTCATTCCGTTAACATAGCATTAACAGAGGAATATTAAACTTCACAGAACATATAGAAAATTATTTTTTTAAATTTTTATTTTCTAATGTTTGGTCATTTTAATTATAAAATTTATAAAAAACTGTCTTGCTACGGCTACCCACTAATGTGTAGTTGCATAATATGTGACAGGACATTGACATTAGATAAACTATGTTTTAAAACAATTTTTCCAATACAAAATGCATATCAATGGAAAGCTAATGAAGAGTGCTATTCATTGGTAAAATAAAATGTGTAGGAAGATTGGACAGATTCCGAATCTGTACTATCCATTGGAATAAGAAATTGTGGGTCAATCGGACAGATTCCGAGCTATTTGGCCACTTCTGGGGAAATCCTTTGAACAGGATAACTCCATTGGTCAGTATACCTTCCAGGACAATTCTTCCAATCCAATATGCACATCAATGGAAAGCTTATGAAGAGTACTATTGGGAGAATTGTTTTATAACATAGTTTATCTAATTCCAATGTCCTGTCACACAACTACAAGTTAGTGGGTACCCGTAGCAAGACAACTTTTCATAAATTTTATAATTAAAGTTATAGTTATTGTTTATCATAAAAAATAAATTCTTTGATGACTAAACATTAGAAAATATAAATTAAAAAAAATCATTTTCTATATGTTCTGTTAAGTTTAACATTGCTCTGTTAACAGAATCGTTCGTGTCTATGCTAGATAAATGCGGTATTTATCTTAATGGAGCTATACAAGTACCTGCTTGGGTGTTATTGTGAGAGTCATCCCAACCATTATATAATGGATACAACTCCTCCACCCAGGCTTTTCAGGAAGGACATACACGATTTAGGGAGGGAGGTACAACGCTATAAGAGAGAATCAAGTAGCCTATCAGGCATATCTGAGTGGATGCTATCATTTCCATCCATAGCAGCTACAGAACGCCAGCTGCCTAGAAAACCAGGGTAGCTTTGGCGCAATTACGTTCAGGATGGTGTAGTCGTCTCAATTCGTATTTGGCACGAATTGATGAAGATGTGCGTGACGTCTGCCCGGCGTGTGATACAGTCCCGCACAATACGCTGCACCTCATTTATTGCACAGCCAATCATACTTAACTCATTCCAGAAAATCTCTGGCTACAGCCCATTTAATAAGCCGAATTTTTAAATCTGGAGCTTGAACCAGATTAACAGAACGCAAACCCTTTCATGTACTACTGCTACAACAACTACACCGAGTTAATCTGAAATCACGTATTTCGACAGAAGTTTCCAACTTTTGTCCGAATTTATATGGGCCAAGTTTACTTGTGGAACCATGGCTCAATCATGGTACAATTAAGAAGGTAAAGTCTTTTTAAATAAGCATTGCCATTTTTGCATTTTCTGTAATTTACTATGTCAAATTTCACTGCATAGAAAGCAGGTTCCCCTCTCTAATTTGTGTATGTACAATGGATTTATAAATATACATTTTGACAATGGGATGTCGTCAAATGAATCATTTTGAAAAAATGTAAACATATGATTGCATGGCTTTACCTTCTTAATTCTACTATGGGCTCAATAAAAAAGTTGTATAACTTAAAAGCAACTAGGAAAATTCAACTCTGCACTGGAGATTTATTGTGCCAAATAGACAATTATACATTCAACAACTGGTTTTGTTTATTTTATATTTTTTTCATATAATTCTTATAACACGAATAGAATATTGGGGTTATTCCACAAAATTCAGTACAAAATAGGGGGACAATATTGTTTTATCCCAAATTGTACAGTCTGTTGTCCATAATAATCGAAAATATGCATTTCTGTTGCATAATGATTTGAAATTCTTTTTTTTTTTTGTTATTCAAAACAATACACACACAAAAGAAGAAATTTCTGGGGGTGCTGTAATTTTGTCTTATTGACCATAACTACTTCAAATACAAAGAGAAGTATTACATTCTAGCTGTGCCAATGGTGCAATAAGGAGGTAGAACAGCTTCTTAATACTAGAGAAATACAGCCCTGAGGCTATGCCCGCTTCCTGTCAGTATTACTCAAAATTATATGCAACAAGTTGTTTTAATTTATTTTGTATTATTTGTTTATTTTTAAAATGAGTCAAGTAGCACGAAAGATGAATGAAATGCCTGGATGTCCTCTAAAAAATATGATCCTAAGGGATCAATCTTTCAATTCGACAGTAAATCTGCTTCTTATTATTATTGCTCGCCCTCAATTTAAGTTTCTTCCAATCATTGATTTTGAAAATATTTTGTTTTTATTTTTTTAAAACAATAAATACATATGCTAAATTGGCAGAAGTCGGGCACACTTAAAAAAATTGTAATCACCTGGTAGCTTTACCTTACTTTTTACTTTACCATGGCTGTGCCCAAGAACTTTATACCATAAGTATAAATTGGCTTTATTAAAGTCGTATAGGATTGGCCTTTCTATTTTAATTTGCGCGATTTTTGCGTCGATGTGTTGATTCCATGTAAGTTTTCGTCCAGGTGTATTCCGAGATATTTTACGGTATCTTTCTTTGGAACTTGTATATTGAAGATTTTTAAAGTTCACGCCTTAAAGCAAAATTAAAGTGTGTACACTTGTTTGCATTTACCGATATTCTCCATTTTGTCAGGCAATTTTCGAGGAGATCTACATGGGTTTGTAGTTTTCCCGACGCTGTCATAGGATCCTTGTGTATACTAATGAAAGCAGTATAATCAGCAAAAGCTGAGGTAAGAGTTTCATTGGTTGTGGGCGTATCGGCAGTAAACCCACGGCAGCGGGTTCTACGACACCGGATTGACCCGAAACAACAACACTCCAGTTTCGGCCAGCGGCTGCCAACCCAGTGTATACATGTTCGTGTTTGTTTATTTTTCTGTTTTGGGAGCAGCACATCCCGGAATGCTTGCTCCAGATTCTTTTGGTCCGTGCCGGGCTTG